TATACCTGCCTTGGAATTAGGAGGGGTATACTTAGTGATGACTTCTTTCATCCTTGGATTATTCCCTTCCTACTCCCTATCTATGACGTTCGTTTTCTCCCAACCTACCATGACCAGCATTTGAGGCTTCCGCCAGCATGTGAGGCTTCCATCAAGTACACCGATCTTGTGCGCCTAAACGTCGACATACCGAATTTCACGTTGATAGATGAGAACCATACTGGGCGGACTCCTATGTGGCGCGTGCCATGTTGCATCCTGCACATATGGTGAAACTTCCATTATGGGTCCTCTCTTCGACCTCTAAACCCCTCATACTCTTCAAGAGATGGTTGGCGTCATTAGAGATGTAGCAAACTGATGGTCGCCTTACCCTTTTTTTTTGGGGGGGGGGGGAATTTATTTCCAAACGATAAGTTGAGGCCGGGGACCTTACAATTCTACCTGAAGAATGGGGCCATTATCCAGATTCGGCTTAAAACAGAAGAACTAGAAATCAGGTCCAGCGTTTCCAAACTCATCCTTAATTCACAACAGCTAAAAAAAAAAAATAACAATATCGTTTGATAAAAGGAATAAGCACTCGTGGCTAGTCGGGCCTAACCCCGAGTTTACCTCTATACAACTTTTTTTGAGTCAAACAATTTAACATATCCATGCCTGAAAATTTAAAACAAGAGAAGACAGAAGCCGCTCTACGTAGCTTGTAACTCGAGGGAGAGGAGTCCTCCGTTCAAGGCAGGGTATTAATTCGTTCCTCGTTGTCGAGCACATCGGCCCCCGCCTTTTCTTGTGAAGAGGCGGAACCCTCCCGGCCATGTCACGCAGGATTTTAAATAGAAATCATAGAGACAACTTGGGGATGATGCATAATTAATCTCGCGGACCGCCGAGACGGTCGAGGTCGCGTCGTCCCTTCGCCGCTCTAGCCGAGTGCGCCAGCTGTACATCCCGCAATCGTGGCTAGTAACCAAGGACAAAAGAAAACTTTACTCCTACCATCCTGAATCTCTTCCCCAAATATCTGAGAACCACTTCCGTTGATTATGATTTATTCCACATGTCGTTTGCCTTCGCCTTCGCTAGTTACACAAAATCGTTCTTCTTATATTTGGAGTAATTTGCTTCTTGACTTTAATATCAGATATGAACTGGTGGCGGAACAATTGATTGTTCCTATCATCCCAAATCATCTTCACTACCATAGCTCTAATCACATGTGCCACATACTTCCATTCACTCGTACCAGTCGTACATCCTGTCATGATTCACTCGTCTGTCCACTCAAACTTTTTTCCCATAATTGTTTTCCAGTGTTGAATCCATCAGTCTCAGATTCGTTGTGAGGCAGAACATGTAAGCCATAGGTGTCTTATTGTTTTTCATCCCCGTTTGCATGTAGTGCAGGTTGTAGAAATTTTCATGCCTTTTGCCACAAACCAAACAACCGATGTTGTGGCCAAAATGACTTATAACCAAAGCAGACTGGCCAACTTTTGAGACGGTGTCGGAGCAGAAACCCTTACAAGGGTATCTGCTCGGGTTTTTCAATGTCAGACGTTGTCCGACCTTTTTGTTAAATTAAGGGACTTGGTGAGACTAACGACTGCCAAAAGTTTATTCAGACTAATGTATAGCCGAGAGACTATAACTTTTTTGAACCCTAGTCTGGATACATGCGGCGTCCGAAAATAATGGTAGTAGTCGGTAGTTTTGTCGAGGCCGCAGAGGCACGCGGATATGGAAATGGTAAAACTAGACCTATCCTACCTAAAATAATGACGCGCGGCTGTTAAGCCGCGTGATTCAGGACAAAAAAAAACCAAAAAATAATCGTGTCAGGGGTGCAGCGACGGTGAGAAGAGCTAACACGACCAGAGTGTCATGCCTTTTTTAAAAGGACGGACCGTTAAGGGTCCGAGGGCAAACCTATGACTAAAGGGGGATTGTCGGGCCTACGAGACCAAGCCCAACTGGCAGGACGGCAGGGCGACCTGCCTTTGGAGGGGATAGGCGGACTGCATCTGCCCAAACCAGGGAAAGGCAGGACTGCGCCTTCCTAGGCCCGAAAATAGGCGGCCTACTGGGCCGCAACCCTTCAAATGGAAGGGCGGCGGGGATAACTTTCGTGATAGGAGCTAGCCCAATAGGTACTGCATTGAACTTTCACCCAACAGATATTGGGATCGAGCCCAACGATACTCTGCCTGGGCTAACTACTTTTTTGGAGTGGCCCACCATGCAAGCATGAAGCGCGACCATTTTCGGTCACGAGATCGTCAGATCTCACGAACGAAAACGGCCGCGTAGATACAACATGACCCCTGCACAAAGGATTACACGCACAAATCGAGAAATGCCCCAGTCTTTTTTCGATTCCCCTATGGGAATCGAACTCAGGTCTGCGCATTGGAAGGAAGGGGGAAGGCGCCAGCAAGGCGTGGTAATGACTGTTATAGCCGTTGTATTATGAGTACGACGATCACACATCAAGAGGTAATCAAACCACACTGATTGAAGAAAAGATAGTACACAGTCAATCTTCATCCATTCCGGAAAGAGAAACGTGAGAATACACCGCAACACCCAGAAACCACCGTTCGTTCCGTCAGAATCTGCGGTCTTACCGGGCACGAGCCACAAAAGTTTGCAGACCGAAAAATGACAAACGTAACTCCAATCATAGTTAATATACCCTCTCGTTCGGTACCCTAAGTCCGAACGTCAAGACCGACCCTACGATGCGTCATCCAAAAGTATGCCAATCCGATGAGTTACGAGAGCCTGGGCTGAAAAGGCTTGTAGTACCCGACAACCAAAAGCAAAAACAGACGGCAAAAAACAGGGTCCAAGTCCTTATGCTTGGGCATCGCATAGGCTTGGCCGATAGTCCCCTTGTTATCCAAACGTGCGAATTCGAGTAACCCACTGTCTTTGAACTCTCCTTTCATCGTCTGAGTCACGGCTTGAGTTGAAGTATCGATGGGTACATATCCCTCACTCCGGATAAACAAATCCATCATGCCTTTATAGTACAACAACGGGCACATCACCAGGGTCTCTCTTGGATTACGGTCCAAAGGGGTGAAGACGAGCCCCTTCAGCCGAGCCTTCAACTCCAGTACTTCCTGTGTGTCCAAAAACACCTTCTCCCCTGTCCCGGTCCTTATCGGACAGCACGCCAACTCGTCTATCGAAACATTAACGGTAAGATCCTTAATGTTAGCCCACTTCTCAAAGGCTTCAATGATTTCGCCCCCCAAGATTTTCAATTTGTCCTTCCGACAGGCTTTCGGTACGTTGTTCGAGTTCATCAACAGAGGGGATACGTTATCCAACACACGTAAATGAACACGCACATAGCCTCGTACGCAAGTGCAAGGTAACACATTAGAACGTGCAAACGCACGGTGGTTGTGTAATAGTCTCGCAATATTAGGGTTCCGAATCTAGATAATGCGAACTTGAAGCAATCTACGTGCGCGCCGGATGACGCAGGGAGGAGGCGTGAGTTCCTCTAACTTATCATTGACCAATTTACGTACTTCAACAATTTTGAGTCGGTCATCAAACAATAGACGAACAACAATCCGAGCAGAGAGATTAAAGCCAAAACCATCTTTCACACATTGCCCAATCAAGCGCCTAAGGTAAGCGCGTGTACTCTTCCGCTCGAAGTCCTTGATTGAATTGAAGAGACTAGACAATGAATTCATATCCCAACGACGTAATGAATCCAATCGTTTGGGGTTACGTAAGAGTGCGACGAACACCGGCTTGTTCACACTCTTACGTGCCTTCCACTGTCTCAAGTAATGAAAAAGGATGCTCCCAGGTTTCTCAAACGCAAATTTAAACTGCTTCAATTGCCCAACAACCCCATCATTTTCCATAATGGAGGATTCGAAGGCCTTATGTACTCCACGCCACTTAGAGCACCAAGTCTTACCACCATCAGTCAACAATGCAATCCACGTTCCTCCTGATTACGCAGGATCTCAAAGATGTTAATAGACCACGGGTCATCAGAACACAGTCGAACTTTCACCGGTACAATGGATTGCACAACATTAACCTGGTCAGACTGTTGCACATGCTTATTGCTACGCTCGTGTTTCCCACGACGATGGTTACGTTTACGGTTGGGAGCCTTACCAGTCTTACCCGACATGTCCAAATGGGGACTCCATTGTCTAATAAAAGTGGACTCGATCATAACTAGTTCAGTTGTTTCAACGACTTCCACAGACAACAAAGCACAGGATTCCATGCCCATGCATCTGCACCAGCGATATAGGTGAGTGTTTTTAGAATTTCGTCTAAATAAAGAGACATGTTCCCTCCACCGCACATGCGGTGGTCAGGAAGTCTGATCGACATATTGAGACTTGCATTTCAAGGATGTAATTACGTAAACACAATTCGGCAAGTTCAAAGACTCCAAACCATAACGCTGGAACAAGCGAAGCCAGAAATCGACACATTTAGTCAACCAACGGAAACAACCGCGCAAGGATAGTGCCAGTACCAAAAGACAAAAAATCATATCCAACACATCGTCGGCAGAATGCCGAAAAGACGCAATGACCTCGGAGATGACAATCAATTGATCAGTTGAAAGCCCACATCAGACCGCCGCACCCTGATTGTCGTCGTCGTCGCTCAAGGGTGTTGAACTACCGTCCAACTTCACCAACTCGTCGAAGCTTGGCAGGAGATCGCCGAATCGCTCATGTGCACGCTTGTCAGCAATATCGAAAATTGTCTGAACTTCAGTTGAATAGTTGACCCCTTCATCCCTACAGATCGAACGGAGAGTATCATAGTCCATGCAAGCTAAGCTCCCGCCGAGTGGAATCCAGAAAAGCATGTGCTCCATACGAATATCAGTCGTCGGGGGGTTAACTGCTGTCAGAACCTTCTTGGTGATGCCACGAGATGCTTTCCAAACAAGGATCCTAGTCCTGGTATGTTGCAAACGTTCGGAGTGGTGAACCAGGCGAATGCCCACACGTTTGTTGGTGCGTTTGGCAGGAGTAGTCACCGGGGAGCTGTCACCAACGGGGGTATCCGCGCCCCGCTTCCCTGGATGGAGAGATTCCAGGTTCCCTCGGTAATCGCTTCAACATCGCTGGTCGCACCAGAAGAGGAAGACGACAAATCTTTCGCTACAGCCTGCTTACCCTTACCGGTAACGACCATCGTAATCATGGTATCAGCAACAGCCTTCCGCACTTCCGCCTTGATCTCCTCACGAATGTCTCCCAGATTCATGGAGAGTTGCACCTCCACGACTTTAACCATCATCATTTGTTCCTCCTCTCGTTTGCGCTGCTTCTCAAGTTTTCGTGAGGCGCGTTCTTCCTCAGCGGCTCTAGTTGCTTCCACAGCACGTCGAGCTTCGTCACGTTCACGCCGCCGTAGCTCCCTTTTAGCTCTCCGTGCACTTTCCATCTCCATGAATTCATGCATGGATGCGACCGTCCGGTCCAGTTCGTCGAGGCGGTTCATGGGCATGGTTTTGGCTGACGCATCGTAGGGTCGGTCTTGACGTTCGAACTCAGGGTACCAAACTGGAGGGTATATTAGCTATGATTGGAGTTACGATTATCCTCTTTCGGTCCGCGGACTTCCGTGGCTCGTGCCCCGTAAGACCACAGGTTTTGACGGAATGAATGGTGGTTTCTGGGTGTTGCAGTGTACTCTCACGTTTCTCTTTTCGGAATGGATGAAGATTGACTGTGTACTATCTTTTCTTCAATCTGTGTGGTTTGATTACCTTTTGATGTGTGATCCTCTTACTCATAATACTCACGAAGCACATGTGAACCTTTCTGGAGTCAGTTTACTGGGAGTGAGTGAGCACGCTTTGACAGTGTACAATGTACCTATACTGGGATGATTTTTCGGTGGAAGTACGACTGGAATTCAAGTGGGTTTTTACGACTTTGATCGAGTTCGCTACGTCGACAAGTTTCTTTCTACGTCATGTGTACTTGGCTGCGGAAGGAGTACCATGGCTGACGACCACTATCGCAGAGGCAACAAGCGGAGAGGAGCGAGCTCTCTTGAACGTGGGAGGCGGGATAATCGTGACCTTTCTAGGGAACTTGAACGCCACGGGTTCCCGTGGCAATAGCCGTGAAGAGAGGAGGGATGACCCACTGAAGCGTGGACCACCAGTTTGTTATGGGCGTCGTGTTACCGGTCATTACCGAATGGACTGCTGACGTTACTGGACGGACCCAGTAGCACGTCGTCAAATGGAGGCTGACGGCTTCGTTTGCCCTCCCGAGTTCAACCGGTGGGCGGCGGCCGCGACGGGTCACTAGAGCCTGGGTTGAAAAGGCTCGTAGTACCGACAACCAAAAGCAAAAACAAACGACAAAAGACAGGGTCCATGAATCGGGTTTGCAAGGCCCAGAGGGTCTGCTAACCGCGTGGGCAAATGAAAAAATGTACTAAAGTGCCTAACAACACTGCTCGAAAATCCAAAATACAAAAATACAAAAATACAAAAAAAACGACAAACAATCAAAGGACTCGTGGGAACAAAAGGCAGAAGAACAACCTTTTCAGGCTGTGTGGGAGCATGTTTAGCTCCTCATTCAGAAGGCACGAATATTCATGACCGCGAGATCTTGAATCTCGCGGCGCACGACACACGTGTAGAGGAGGAACTGTGGGAGTTGAGTGGAGAGGGAGAAAGAGAAAAATGAGAGGATGGGAGAGAGGAGGACCTACTCCTCCTGACCTGTCATCTGCCTCCTCTTTCTCAGTGGAGGGAAAAAGAAAAAGAAAAGAAAAGAAAAGAAAGGAAAAAAAGAAAAGAAAAAAAAAGGAAACGAGAAAACGAGATCAATTTTTTTTATAATCTGTATTTTGTGGTTTGCGCCAAGCTTTCTTAGGTAGCGTAAAACAATTTTGGCGGCCTTGAGTATTTTTATGTAGGTAGCCAGACACCTAGGCCATGCGCATGAAAATTTTCAGATTTTTTTATTGGGCAAAGTTTTTTTTTTAAATCATCAAAGTCGGGGTATGTTTTACACCCCCCTTTGAGCCTGTCGAGATTTCAACTCGTGAATTTTCACGAGTTGTTTCCCTACCTCTCCCAACCTGCAACTGCCCTCCCCGTTTTCATGAGAGGGCAGAGTAAAAGGTGGGAGGGCTTTTGGTTTCAACAACATGAACCTGGCCAACGTAAGGGTCATGCGCGATATAGTTAAAGTTAGTTTTCTTTTTATTTTTCTTTTGTTTTTTTTCTTTGTTTTTTTTTTTTTGCATCCTCGTGAGGACACTTGTCCTCACGAGATGTTACCTCCGGGAGAGGTTGCCAGAGGTAACAGTCAGACTTCCGTTTTTAGAAGGAGCCTGAAAATTGGGGGGTCATAAAGAAAAAGGCTAAGTACAGTCTTTTCCCCGATGTATCTGCCCTGGAAAAAAGGTCCAGGTACATCAAACTGAAAGGGGTTGTATCTTCCAACCCCTTATCAAGAAAATAAAATAAAAACAGTTTTGGAAATGTCACGACCCCAACTATCTCATGAAAATCCGAGATAGATGGGGAAAATAAAAGAAAAAGAAAATGAGGGCAGTTAAAGAAACTGCCCTCACTAAGGCTGTGGCTGTGGTGCGGCCACAGTTAGCCCTGAATCTTGGTCAGATCAAGGGCTCACTGTGAACCCTTGATTTTGCCTGGGGGCTGAAGTGACGACCAACACTCCTCAACCACTATAAAAAAGGCAGTTGTCCTCAGCTGCCACACAGAAGCACTCGTGCTGCCAGTGTGTGGCAATACACTTGAGTGTCGCCGGGCTGCTGGAAGAGCTGCTGGAGGCAGCGCTAGAGGAGGTTGGAGGACTGCAGAAGAGCGTCGAACGAGGAGGAGGACAACCATAGTCGAGGCAGGGAGCACTCTGCTCCATCCTCAGGCTGGTGCTGGGCCTTTGGGACAGTTATTGGGACCACGCTGTTGGACTGGGACTGTGCGGCAGGAACTATACTTTGAGCCTGAATTTTATTGAGGTCTAAAACTTTATTAATTTGACGGCGAGACTTCCTCTGCAGTGGCAGGCTTCAAGGTGGTGTTGGTGGAGGTACTGGCGAACTGGACCACGGTAGGTTGCTTCCCCACTTTTGTGGGGATATACTGCCGATTTTTTTCGGGATGAACAACGATTATTTTTGCTTTTACGGCGCGTTCGGTGACACTGAAATGAGGGGAGGTGTTGTCAATTTTTGCGGTATGGAAGAATTGACGTTCCGGTGGGAATATGCTGCCGATTTTTGTCGGCGTCAACGACGATAATTTTTGCGGCGTTATGCTGCCGAAATTGGGGTTCGTCAAGCGACACTAAGAGGAGAGAAGGTGCTGGTTTTCTTTTGGTGTGCTGAGGGACACAACGTCAACATCGGTCAAGGGGTAAATTGCAGTGAGACTGTTGTGGTGGTATGGCGAACGACATTAGTAATAGTGACGACAGTTTGCGTGTTGGACCATGCCTATCAAGGTGGAACGACATGCCAATTTTTTTGCAGTAAGACTATTGTGGCGGTATGGCGAGCGGCATTAGTAGTAGTGGCGATAGTCTGCGTGTTGGACCATGCCTATCAAGGTGGAATGACATGCCTTTTTTTTTTTTTTTTTTACACATGTCAGCGGCGGTGAGGCCATTTGACCTTGACATGGTGGAACTTTGGGACCAGCGGAGCGTGTGAGCGGGACTCGCGATGCCGGCGAAGTGGGAACTTGAATGTTCTATTTTCTTTTGAGAAGTGTGGTGGAGACTATTTTGGCAAGTGATGTCATCAGATGCTGGAAGGAATAGTGCGGGACCACTTGGGACCGTCGGGAATCAGTTGGGACTGCCTGGGACCATCTGGGGCTAGGTGGGACATCAGTGGGCGGCGGAGTGACTATTGGGAGCACGTGGCACTTGCGGTTTTGACACCAGGGAGTGTTATTATTTTTTTTGAGAGCATCGTGAGAGCGGTTTCGGCAATTGGGACCATCTGATGCTACAGGCGGTAGTGCGGGACCACTTGGGACCGCCAAGGATCAGTTGGGACCGACGAGGAACGCGGTGGATTTTTTTGAGACGAGTGCGGCTCGCCATCTTCACACTTGGGACTGCCACAGTGGGACTTGTGAGTTAAGAGTAAATTGAGACTAGCGGTTGACTCAAGACTTACCTCGGGACTGCGGTTTCTTCAGCGACGCGTATATGTTACTTGGCTTTCTTGAGTGAGCCACGACACGTTCGACACCACTTCACTCAAGAACAGTTGATTGACTCAGATTTCCCATCACACCTGTGTTAACCCATACTTTGTTTAACCCTGTTCATTGAATGTTCGTTGAAAAGGTAGAGGAAAGTTGTGTGTATCATGCATGTGAATGGAAAGGTCTAACTTGAGCATAGGATTGCATTGATTTTTCTTGAACTTGTTGTCTTTGCGTGTTGTGCAGGTAGGTAGAAGGATACTTGCAAAGGAGATTGATTATGCCTATTTGAGAAAAGGGAAAAGGATTGTCTTATTTTTACTTCTCACTTGTCTGCATGTCAATATGGTTTCTTTGTTTTGAAAAATGTTAATTGTGTAAGCACCGTGAAACGAATTCGATTCAAATCAAGTAGGTAAGGTCAAACAAACATAGTATTTTCCTGAGGATTGACCGTTTCTATCCTGAATGACTTTTATCTGTCCAAATGGTTCTTATTCTCTATCTCTTCTAACTCTTTTCATCATAGTTACCTTGAACAAGGGAGGATGAGATCAACTGAAAATTTACTTGTGGTGGACGCTCTCTCTCTTTCAAGGAAGCATGTGGGGCGGAGGTTCGTTGCTTTAGGAGCCAACCCTGTTATCGATCCAGAGCGAGTCGTTCTACAGTGGGATACTTTGTCGATTCGGTGGAGACGACCCGATTTCTGAGATCCGAGTCTTGTGCTCGGATGAGGAGGATGAGTACCCCAGACCACTTCCTAGAGGGAGAGATATGCAACACCTCAAGTAATGCACCGGATCAATAATCATTCACAAAACAGTGTGTCATCCAAGAAAACTAAGGAGCTGTGAAGACGGATGTGCGTGCCTAATCTTAGGTCGGCGATATGATGGAATGAATAACTTTGGCGACGCATCTTATTAAGTCAAAACTAAGGTTATCCGACTACCTTGTCGGCTGCATTAAGGTTATTGTCGAAACCAACTTCCAGTTGGCAGCTCAGTATGATGTTTTGTTTTATTGATTGCGACTCGAGGTGGTTGGATTTTATTTTGATCTTGTGTTCACTGGATGTACCATATAATGATTTTTTCAGACTGGATATATAATTTTGTCGACTTCGATCGACTCCTTTCTATATAACTATGTGTGGTTGTTATAACTTTATTTTGACTAGTATCTAAAGGAACTAGGATTGAGTTGTGAGTTCTACGCTTGGTTGAGATTGTCCTAGTCGATCGACGTACGCTTCGTTCTTAGGAGATCAGCGCCCTAATGAACGAACAACGTTCGGATTCAATAGGCGTTTTAACCGCGCATACCTATACTACAGCGAGCGAGAAAACGCCCTTGGATGACCTACCTCTGCAATTGCATGTAACAA